GGAATTTTGTAGGGTGGAGCCAGTGGAGAGGGAGAGATTGAAGGTACAAGAAACCACAGGTGGTGAGGGTGCTGTGGTGAAGGAGAACTGAAATTCTCCTGGCAAAAATAATTCTAGAGTTACACGTGGTGGTGAGATGGGTCATCTTCAAGTGTGAATTACTAATGTCAGATCCTTTCCTGTTTTATAGGGTTAGAGGATATAGAAAATAGATGGACCTGAAGCCTAAGAGGGAGGGTTAGACACCAAGTAAGGGTAAGGGCAAGGAAGAGAATTTTGGAAACAAAGAAGAAAGACTGAAGATTTCACAGCTTTGCCAATGGTTGGCACTGTTAGCTACAATTTAGAAAAGATGATTAGAAGTAATCTAAGATTAATTAAGACTCTCTCTCTCTCTTTAACCATGGCTGAGTTTGCTATAAATGACCCTCATTTTCAGAAAGTTTATTAATTGAGATATGGGGCCTATTTTCCAACCTTCTGGACATCTATAGTGATTTTGTTCTACTGGTAGAAAAGACCTTTATATGTTAGAACCAAAAAACTTTGCTATTAGTTATTTTTACGTATCTGTGGCATAATATTTCAGCAGCTTAAATTTCTTACTTTTGAACTTATTGTTAAGGATAGTCTTAAATTTTAATTTAAACAGCTATACAAGAATAGCTATTCCACAACCTTTTTGTTGCTATCTTGGGATCATTGTGTAGATACTGAGAACAAATCAATCTAAAAAAAGGTGAGTTCACATGCTAAATCCTTTTATATTTATACCTGTAACATCATTAATTTCCTTTCACAGATTACATTCAGATATTTTGGCAGAGACTTCCTCAATCCTTTTATACCTTTTTCTTAGAAATATTTTTGTAACAAGTGACATTAAAATTAAAGAAGAAAATCTTTTCTGTGATAATATTAAAGGCAATGAGATTTTCTCCTCTCAACAAGTAAGTGAATTAAAGTGACTGAAAACATGTCAATTTCACTATATTTGCTTCTTGGTGTTTCAAAGTCATGTCCTTTGGGATTGCATGTCCTGTGTGTGAGTGGACTGAGAGGCTGTTGCATGACTGTGCTGTTTTGATATTCGATATAGGTTTCATAGGCCTGAGTTCATTTTTTTTCTCTCCTTTTCAATTTATCTTTCTTTCCCTGTGTACAAAAGTAGTATTTATTCAAGACATTCAAAAACGTAAAATATATAAAGTGAAACCCATTGTAATCCTATTACCTCTAAGAGTACTACAATTTTGTTTTCATGTGATTTCTCTAATTTTTAAAAATATGCATTGACAAATCTTTTATTATTCTTACTTACAAAAATGGGATCATGATCAACTTGCTGTTCTGAAACTTGCCTTTTTAACGCGTTTTTGTAATATACCCTGGATATATTTTCATGCTGGTATATATCAATCTGCCACATTCTTTTTAAGTATAATATTGCCTTCCTGTACAGAGGCAGCAATTTAACCTATCCCTATTGATAGATTCTCAGGGTGGCTATAAACATCACTCTATGTACATCTGCAACCCTATAGTGCTCTTGCTTTTAATAATGATCCTGCATTACTCTTTTTAAAATCAGCTTTAAAAAAAGGTCTTGTTTTTAGTAATGATCTTACATTATTCTTTTCATTCCAGCTTGAGGTTCACTCTTCTTTCTCTCTTTCCTTCTTTACTCACCTTATAGATAGGGGCTTTAGCCATTTGTTTTTTTTTACAATTGCATTTACCTACCCATCCACTTATTCATTTAATTAATTAACCAGTAAATTGTTACGTGAGACCATGCCAATTTCTGGGAATATGAAAGTGAAAAAAACATGACCCTTTGCCCAAGACAAGTTCACCATCCTGTGGAGCCCACGTCCTCACAACCATCGATCTGTTCCTACTGCACTGCATTTAGTTTCTCCGTTCTGCATATCCAGTCTGAAAATAAAGACAATTTTAAAGTACTTTCATGAATTTGAGAATGGTAGGCTACCATTCTAGTAAAAACTAGATTATAGACATTTTTCTGGTTACCACAAATACAATTTTCTCTGTACATAATCTGGTATGCATATACAGGAAAGTAAAATATTTTTCCAGGAGAGGGAAAAGAGTAGTAAAGAAGGATTCCTATTCTTTTTAAGTGGCATTTAATCTCAAAACCCTAACTTTACATTACTATCATTTTTATTTAAGGAGCAGAAGTATAAGTAGCAGAAGTCTAAGAGAAGTTTAGGTTTACTGAAAATTTACTATTTTCTCACCAATCAGAAAGGGAAATGTGAATCTGTTAATCAAGCGGGGGCAATACTGCAGAGATGTTATATTATAATTGTTATTTGTTACCATTCTTTTATTAAAAAATAGATTTTTATCTAACTATAGCCAAGATTTCATCTTACCAATAAAAAAAGATCGGTTCCTTTTCTGTTATTAGTGGTACTTGTACTGTTTTACAAAAAATTCTGAAGTTTAATTCTAAGACTGTGCTATCCATATGTAGCATTAGTAGAGAGTTAAAGTTGTTTCTGAATTTAGATTTTCTTTATGCCAACATTCATGTTATTAAGTCACAAGGCTCACATTTTCTACCCTTTCTTCTCCTTAGAGACACTTAAGCATCTGATGTTCAAGTTAAATAACAATGCCTGTTTCTTTACAGATTGCTAGACTGATTGAGTGTGAGAGAGTATTAGTGGCATTGGAACTTAGCAACTTCCTAAATGATTCCGGTTATGCCCTTCAAGCTGTGACTCAATGTTATGGCCTCCTTGCTCCTATAATCTATCACAATATTGCTTTGGTACCTGTTGTACAGGTAAGGATATTCCTCCTCCCCACACCCCCAAACAAGGGTATTTTTGTGAAGGTAACTCAACAATTCATTTTGGAAAAGAAAAGCAATGTATCTCTTACAAAGTACAAATAGGTCAAGAACAAGTATGAAATTTCAGGAGTTAACTGAAAAACATTTTAATAAATTATATGTCTGGGCAAACATAAATAAGGACATAAAACGTGTTTCTCTGAAAACATTCAGCCCCATTGCTGTCCATATTAAATATAGGCAATCTGCTTTTCTAGGTTCTAAAAGCTATTTCAATTTTTTATGTTCTCGTAATGTTATGAACAGCAGTGTTTATACAAAGCATATTGTTAAATCCATCATCTGGGGAAAAATATTTTGGATGACCCAGGACAAAATACTTGGGAGTCTTGGTGATGAAAGAGTTGGTATTTATGGAAAAAGGGCAGGTGAGACCTGGCTGAAGGGATTATATTAGTTGTCCATGCTTCTTAACAAATCATCATACATTTAGTGGCTTAAAAGGATACCAATTTATGATCTCATAGTTTCCGTGGGCCAGGAGGCTGGATACAGGTTAGCTGGGTCTTCTGTTTAGGGTTTTATTAGATTGAAATCAAGGTGTTGGCCAGGACTGTGATTTCATCTGAGTCTCTAGGTCCTTTTCTGAGCACATTGGTTGTTGAGAGAATTTATTTCCATGAGGTTGTACAATTGGAGGTCCTTAGCTCCTAAAGGCCAACTACAGTTCGCTGCCACATGGTCTTCCCCACAACATTGTAGTTTGCATCTTCAGGTCAGCAGGAGAGTTTCTTCCAGTACGCTATGAGGAGTCTTATGTAACGTTTGTAATTATGAGAGCGATGATCACGTCATATTCACAGGCTCCAGACACACTCAAGGGGAAGGGATTATACAGGAGTTGTAAACCAGGGGTAGGAGTCTTAAGACCTATCATCATCATCATCACCATCATTGTCATCGTTGTCATCGTCGTCATCATCATCATCATCATTGATGCAGTTTTTGAGAACCAGGGAGATGTGAGTGAACTCATGCAAAGTCTAAACATTTTTAATTCATTATTGAGAAAACTAATCATAGAGCTAAAGTAACTTAGCAAATAATCACCTTGGAGGGACTCTTTTGAAACATAGATGTGCCGCCTTCTCCCACATTCCACACATCTAGTAGTTCAGCTGCTGAAAAGGTCTGCCTCCAGAGGTCAAAATCTAGGCTCATAGTCGACAGCCTTCTGTGTCAATTGTAAATTGATTAGAGCAGTATTCCCCAGTGTGGAGTATACTTCCTCCAGAACCCAAGGGCATCTACCTGGCGTGGTCCTTTCTTCTTAGAGCTGAGAGATGCCAGATGTCAGACCTCCTTTGGAGGTGGTATCCCAACATGCCCCAGATATTTCATTAATGTGGCAGGCCTCTGAATCTTTGTAGGGCTTATTTCTACATTCTGGAGGGCATGTGTCTTACCAAGGTCTTCAATGTACTTGACATTTCTTGCTCATTAGGTCTAATTCACATGATGTTATCAATGTAGTGATCCGATGTTTTCTTTTGAGAAATGTCCAGGAAATCCAGTTTTTTCACATAATATTATGTCGGAGGGTATGACAGTTATTATTGCCCTGAGGCAAGACTCAAAACACACATTGTCAATCTGTCCAGTGTTAACGGGAACTTCTTCTGGCACTTCTTCCTGATAGGATAGACAAGAAAACATTAGCCATATCAAAGAATGTCTTTTAATGTGCTCTAGCAAAGCAATCACATCGGGAACGGCAGCTGAAATTGGTGCTGAACAGGTTGAGTTCATGGTGTGCACAGTCATCTTCCAGGATCCCACTGATTCAGGATGCCTACAGCTCAGAGAATGGATTATAGCTCTGAGGAAAAGCCTGAGGAAAGGAGTCTCTAACTCCTTTTCTTGTTGTGTTGTTTGTTGAATTGAGTTGTTTGGAATAGGAAGAGATTAGTGGAACAGAGGGAGAGATTTCAGAAATAGGCCTCAAGAGGTATGAGAATGTAATACATGACAGAGTTGTCGTCCCCATCCAATGGGAAGAGAATATTTTTAATAAATGGTGGTGAAACATGTGGATGTTCAACTGAAAGAAAATAGAGTTTAATCCCTATCGTACCATATACAAAAAGTCCAGATGTATTAAAGACTTAAATATACAACAAAGCAAAACACGTTAGGAAAAAATATCCCAGGAAATGACATGTGCAGTCCAGGGTTTGGAGGAAGTCTTTCTAATCACAACCAAATTCCTAGAGAAAACCAAGAAATATGATTAACAAAAGTTACCATAACAGAGAGAGTAGAAATCATATGGGTTTGAAAAAAATATCTCCAGAGTTGATGAAGGAAAAATATATATAATAAAACGTCTTCCAAATTGTTAACAACCTACTGGAAAAATGGGCACAAGATATGAATAAGGAGTTCACATGAGAGTAAGTGCAAGTGGCTGAGAAACATATGAAAACAGGCTCAAACTCTGAACGTTCATAGGAACGCACACTAAATGAACCATGTAAAATCACTGGCGTAACGGAGATCTGTAATCTCGCTTGCTGGTGACAATATGGGACAAAGGCATTTTCATTCATTTATGGGGGAATGTTAATTGTTATAAGCTTTTGAATTTTGGTAAAGCCACCTTAATTTTAATGATATTAAATCTTTATTTAAACAAAATTAAAAACAGATATACCTGAAGTCATTATTCTTCTAGTAATTTATCTTATACAGTAAAGTTTTAATAAAACTAAAAATATATTAATCTGACACAGCGATTCCTCTATTAGTAATTTATCCCATAGAATAAGATCACCAGCTGGTAAAATGTGACTCTTAGTTTCACCCATTGGTTCCTAGATCCATGTGTTTTACCTACTGGGACAGAATACCACATAATGGTTGTCAATTTAGAGTGCATACTGTGTCCTGGAGGGTGGTGTTTCATCCTCATGGGGTATCATCTCAAAGGTGGAGCCTCAGTTGCCACTCATAGTTGGCAACCGCGCATGTGTCAGGGTATTTACTGTGGCATTCCTGGTGGTGGTGAAAAAGCTGGAGACAGATAGAAGTAACAGTACTGCCAGGTTGTAAAACATCAACTGTAAAAGTGTGCAACATGAGGTCCTGGAAACGGCCAAATAAATGATGGTTGATCCACATTAAATAATATTATGTAGTTATTAGAAACAATGAATTAGAGCTATACCTGTAGATCTGAAGGATTTCTCACAAGACATGGTTGAAGGAAACACGCAAAGTTGAGAAAAGTGTGTATAAATTCCATTTTGTAAAAGAACGACAACCTTCCTTCTATGTATGTTTATGTATTTATACATACTTATATGGTTATACGAGCCTCAAGAAAACTACAAAACTACTAGGGTGTTAACATGATCTGGGGATATGGTGTGGTAGGGTGGGAGAGGGTGATTGTGGAGGGGAGGAATTTTTAAAAATATTCAAAATAAGTGTACTGTAGCAACAGTAACAACATTGTTAGAACGGGGCTTGAAGCAATTAATGTGCCCCAAAAGAACCAACATCCATATGTTAATTTGTCCTTTGGGATAATAGATTGCTGCAATCTCAGTTCTACTTTTCTGACAGTAATATTGTTCAGAACTGTGCAGCAGTACATGTGTCGAAAGCTAGCTCTAGGTCAAATTCAGGATCATATAATATGAAGGAAGGAGAATAGGAAGTAAATGCCAGTATTAATTGATTTCCTGGAATGTGAATGTTTAGTTTTAATTTTAGAAGGAACTATTGTTTCAAGTACCTGGAATCACTGTATAATATTTAATATGGCATATCCTCCATATGGTTTTTAAATGTCCCCTGAGCCTGGATGTGATCTTTAGAGTCTTGTATACGTGTAACATTCTGCCAATATAATTTATGATACTTGCCAAAATATGTCTTGCTTTATAGTTATTTATGTACTTATTTTATCCTCTCTCTTAGTTTTCAAGTTACTTTAGATGAATGACTCATCTGAAAATTGAATATATCAATTTTATCTGTGTACAATTCCTTTATACATAATAAGCATTTTATCAATAAATATTGATAACAATAAAATTTTATGGCTTAAAACTCATGATTTGAATAGAACATCTTATAATGAGTATGGATGATATTTTAAAACAAAAATCATTATTCTTCTATTTTTAGATCTTGATAAAATGTATAGTGGTTTTGCAAGGACTACCAAGTACCGTCTACTCGAAGAAAAATATTGCAAGTTTCCAAAGTATACAGCACATGATAGCTTGTTGTATTTTCTACGTAACAAAGGTATTTATCTCATTCTTTGAGTAGTGTCACAAAATTTAGGAGCAGTAATGATTTAGAAAGCCAAACTACTTTTAATCTCAGGACTTAGAACTCTTGAAAAATGGTAGCCCCAAAGCATTTTTAGATCAAAAGCAAATGTGAAGTCTACACATTCCAGAATAGTAATCTGTTGTTGAACTTATTTTTTTTTTTTTTCCTTTTTGTCTTTTTTTACTGACCGGTAACGGGATCGCAACCCTCGGTGTCACGCCCGTACCGGGGACCGGCAACGGGATCGCAACCCTTGGTGTTGCGCCCGCACCGCGCTCAGCCAGTGAGTGGGAACTGGTCTCCACATGGGATCCGAACCCTCGGCGGGAGCGCCACTGCACTCCCAAGCGGCGCACTCTCCAGTGCACCACCGGGCCGGCCCTGTTGTTGAACTTTTTGAATGAAATTGTGATACTTCACAAACTAAAACTTGATGTTATTGAAATAGTATTTGCATATTTTATAGACATTATATGTGGTCACACAGAACATATTTGTTTCAAAACCAATTACATGTTTATTACACTGCAGCCAACCTGTGTATCACCTCGTCAGGTTGTGATCTCAGTGGGACTTCCAGGCAGACGTGAAGTAACTTACCCCAAGAATTGAATTAGGTTGGTGGGCCTTAGAAGATATCAAGAGACCAGGCATCAGGGTTATGATTAAAGGATTATGAGTAAAGGAGGGGTATGATAATCTCATGAAATTAGAACGTTAAAAAAAATACCTGAAGAAAAGAGCAGACTAGGCAGAGTCTAAGGATAATTCTGAGATTGGTGTGCAGGACCCTGAACTAAACAGAGGACAAACTGTAGAGGCTAATTCAGAATGTACCAATCAAGAGTGATGTATCTGAAGGTCTAAGCCAGGGAGGAGAAACAGACAAAAGTGTGGTCAGGACATAAACTGGGTTTTCATTTTTATTTCACTCCTTCATTCAACAAATATTTACTGATCACCTCTCTGTGTCAGGTACTGTTTTGGGCACTTGACCTATGCACAAAGAATTAGAGAGTAGCCGTAGGAGAAGAAGAATGAATTATGGATGTCAGCCAGATTTCTAGCTTGGGTGATGAATGGATGGTGGTAACATAAACAGGGATGCAAGAAGATCATTAAGGGCTGGGGCGATTGGGGAAGGCTTCCCCTAGGAGATGAGACTTAGATGTGCTTTAAGCAAGAGTTACAAACTCAAATGCTTACTGTGACCAAGTAGGTAAAATAATCTGTGAATTGGTTGGATGCGAGACAAGGTTTGTTGGGTTCTGAGACAAACTGGAGAGTAGGTACCCTACCTATAGGCATTGAAATTTATTGTTTTGAAAATGAACACACATAAAATATAATTTCATGAGGCTTTAAGTGTTATAAACAAGAAGAAAAGCAGCTAAGGGAGAGAGATATCTGGGCTTGGGCCTTCTTTAGATGAGATGACCCTGCAGCAAGAGAGAGTAGAGCTAAGGCAGATGGAAGAGGAACAGCTTTGCCAGCAGAGCACATGAAGGATTAGGCAGGAAAACATACTTAAGAGAGTCGCGGTCCATTTTAGCCTCCAATTGAGTAGGGGTAGACCATTCATGTGGAGTAATGGATTCCCAACCTGTTGACTTGAGAGTTATTATAAGAGATCTATTTAAACATAGGTATGCCTAACATTGTTTGTAAACTCCAT